CTGGTGAGCTTAGGATATCTGGCACGTAACAAAACTCATGTCTGATAGTGACTGCACAAGAGTTAATAGTAGCTTTATATGCTCAGATCACAAAAACCGAGTCACTAAGATTTCTTGACCTTGTTTTCTCTCACTGCACATAATGTAATAACAAACAGTAGTATAGAAAGTAAGAAGGAAAAACACAGTGAGTAACAGATAAGCCAAAAAGCAGCTGCATTACCTGAGTGACAGCACCTGCTGTCTGGTTGCTGAAGGAAGGATCACAGAACGTTTTCCTGCTGTGCTGCTTCTGACGGATCTGAGTGCGTCTGTCATGCCAACACTTTGGATATTTCTGAGCAGAGGGACAACTTGGAGCAAAGCAGAGCAAAAACAAAGGCGCTGCAATGCAAAGCCAAGAAGCAGCCCACTGCATTTTAAGTCTTTCAATGAGCCCTGTGAGTGTATTAAAAAAATCCTCCCCGCTAGGAGGGAGCTTCGACTGAACTTTGGAGCTTTTTGTGCGAGAGAGTTGCAGAAAAGCTGGGTTGTATAAGTGACTGAGAGTGTAACTATATGTGTGACTTAAGATCAAAGTTCAGTGAGGTGTGGTTGCACACGAAGGAAGACGCAGTGTGTGAAATAAGTGACAAATGAATCTAGAAGAAATCACAACTTTTGAACTCATATGGAATATAGTTTATTAAAGCAAACAGGAGTACCAAAAATATCAAACAGAAACAAAAAAAACCCACAGATGTAAAAGCTTTATTTGCACTCACTTTTAAAATAACCATCACATTTGTTCTGTTTGTTCACAGATTCTTGTTGAGGCCAGGCTCAGTTTTTTCTTTTTAGATTTTCAATTTTTTCTCATTTCAGCCTAACAAAAATAACAAAAAGTTGCAGTCTGGCAATGAAAGTTACAAATCAACTGTGACTAATATTGCTTACACAGGGTACCCTGATTTGCTTTATATGGTCTAATCTACAAAATCTATATGTTAGTGTGTATAAGGTAGCCCTTTAATCCATGAGGAAAGTGTTTATTGAGGTTACAGAACACAGGAGCCGAGGACCATTTTCCTACTGACTTCTGTACAATTTTGAGTTCTTTTTTAAACCTGAAGAGTCGCCCCCTTCTGGCTGTTAGAAAGAATGGAGATTTTAGTTACTTTCACTCTGAATTCACTTTTCAGACTAAGAAACTACATCGTATGTTTAACACAAAGTCTATGAATGAAGGTCACACAAAAAGGAGGGCAACAAAAACAAAACAAAATCCAGTATATGATGATATGTTGAGGGTGGGGGCATTACTGCACAGGGCAAAGGCTCCACTAATTTTGGACAACATCTAAAGGTTTTGGAGCAATATCGCCATCTAGAGGATGTCTGTTTCAGGTAAGACTTTGACAAACTACATTTTGCACATAATGCAACAGCAAGAGTTCAAATCTAAACTGGTCTGCTTCCAGTTTAGTCCTATCAGCCAGTGAAAATATCAAAGGCGCCTCTAATCTTTTGAGTTGCTGAAGGTGACCCTGGTATTAATCACACATTTATTTTGGTTATTTTATTATATTTTTTTATTTACCTCACAAAGATGTCCCTGAGAGAAGCGACATGTTCATTATTAAAAGGTTTCAACTTTTCATAAACATTTACTAAACTGTCAGAAAGGTGATTTGGGCTGTATGAGCACTGACTGTTGATTTGTGGAGATGAGGTCCAATGGACGAGCATAGCCTTGAGACTGCCACATCTTATTAAATCATAGAATAGGGTACAAGGCGTAGCTGGCGAGGCCACAAGCGTTTTGGCCATTCCGGACGATTCGCATAAAGCCGCCTTCACCCCAGCCAGTTCCCCAACTATTGGGGGGGAAAAAAGACATTTTTAGGTGACAAAAAGTGGAGGTTTTGGTCAGATGCTATCTTTTTCTTTCAACAATATTGAACAAACCTGTTCTTGATGATCCAGTAGTCTTGGCCTTCTTGTGAGCCATAGCCGACCAGCAGCACTGCATGATTCAGATTATTGGGGTTGCAGTTGGGCTCATCATATATTCCTGCAAAGGAAACATGAACCTACTTAACTGACTTTTGGAAATTTGTGGGAAGCAAAAACAAACTGATAACACAACAGTGACATATAACCCTTAACTCAGAGAAGGAAAATTCTTAGTGACCAGTTGTTAGGGAACATTACTTGTGGTATTTCTTACTTTTTACATGGTGGCTTCTTATACATAAAATGCCCAAATTTTTAAAAATGAGGTCCTGTGAATGTAAGCTTTTTGCTTGGGGAAGTTTTTTTATTCTTGGATCTGTATGATGTGAAGAAGAGGATATCCTCGGTATGGCACAAAGCTTGGATTGTGAAAACTGATGAGCAACCCACATGCTCTTCACATTTTATGTTTGTGAGGTGTAGGCAACTCAGAATAAAGTTAACCTAAAGGGAATACGGTTTTTAAGGGGGAGGTGCTTAAATTGCACTTTTTAAAGGCAATTTATGAACCAGAGCACCAGTATAAGACAAATGAGGCTCATCTTGAACCATCAATCATGCAGAGTTACTCAATTAAACTCCAAAAATAAAAAACATGAAGCTGAAAATTACCATAATAAGTCCTGTTTAGCATTTAGTTCAATCTCCAACAATTCCTAATGGGAATTTCTGGGTCTTTAGTTACTAAAAGCTTTGTTGTGTCCCCAAGATAGTTGCTAACTTTGTTTGTCTGCTCACTGTTGCTGAGTATCCGATGGGATTATCAAAGCTTTTTTGCTGAAAAAAATAGCTGCCATACAATGAGAACAAAAACAACTAACAACAACAAAGTTGCACTTTGTCACTCTTTTCATATGTGGCTTAATGTGGCTTTGTTAATCTAAAAATTCTCATTATAGCAGCTCTGAGTTTAAAAAGTCCTCTTCTTATCAAAATCGACTTAAGATAACATAACTGTTATTTTTAAGGCAGTTAACCTGAGCTGTAGAACAGGAAGCTTGCATGATCTGCATCAATAGCAACTGTTATTGGTCCAATAGTTGCCAGAGCATCAGCCATAGCTTGCTCATCTCCCCTGGGAATGAACCTGTAGTCCCTGATGTGAGCAACTGCAAGCCTGCTGTCGTAGAAACAGGGCTGAGTGTCCTGTTGAGAGAAATAAATGTTAACCGCAGCATGTCCGCAGAATTATTTACTTTTTTATGATGTAGGATAAGACAGCAGAGTCCTACCACTGAGGTGTATGGGTAGGTGTTTGAAGACTCCAGCCCGTTGCTGACCACATAGTCATAAGCATTGGCCATCCAGGCACCACTGCACCCATAGGTACCAAAGGATTTAGAACAATCCACTAAGTTTTGTTCGCTCAAGGATATCAGCTGACCTGTCTTTTTGTACAGCTGTGCCTCTATAGCTCCCGTAGTGCTGAAGGCCCAGCATGACCCACAAAAGCCCTGCAAAGAACATTTAAAACAAAGATCTGATTGTGATTCAGTCTGAATATACCCACTCATGTGATGGAGGGACAGTCTTACCTGATCTTTAACCTCAGTCACAAAACCCATGTTTCTGTAGTCAACAGCATAGCCATCTAAATGCCTTGCATTGTTACGCAGTCTTCGAGCTGAGACTTCTTTCCCTCTCTTTACAAACTGAGCATTCATCTTGGCACCTTGCAAAACCCGGTATTCTTGTTGTGTCTGCAAATGTAAAACAATTTTTGTTCACAGTATCACAGTTTGTTACAGCAATTAATCAGACAATTCTTTTTTTAAGGTCTTTGTGGAAAATAGTAGGTACATTTAGGAGCTGGTTAAACAAAGCTGAAACAAAACACTTCTACTCTACTACTAAATTCTACTAGAACAAAACAATACTCCTTACTAGGTCTCCATATCTATTCATAGCCATACTGAATGACTTCATCCCCATGAGAAACCTTCGGTTGTTGTCTTCAATCAACTGCTTATTCTCCTCCCAGATGGCTCTCCTTTCCATGTCATCCTGATGGTTAACACAGGAAAAGCACACCAAAGAAAAACTCGAATAAATTAGAGAACATGTGGACTTTTCGTTAGAGAACATTTGCACTTATTGTTGTTGTGAGGATTTTAGATGTGGAGGCTGTCTCACTGATTCATCATAGCTTATGCCATATCTGCTTTTCCAGATCTCCCACTCAGTCGGGGCCTCCTCATCTGAGTCTGCCAGCACGTGCTGCAGGCCACTCAGCAGGACGGACAGCAGAGCAGCTTTCAGCAGAAAGCTGGCCTGCTGGACTAGAAGGACCAGAGCATTGCACAGTTGCATTGTGTATATGTATAATTCATCATATTTCATCATATCATGTTGAAAGGATGGCCTCATGAGCCCTCTGACTGCAACTGTATTATCAATCAAAAGAAAAATGGAAATCTAGTCAATATAAAAAGTGTTCTCTGAGCTTATGTTAGCTTAGGTTAGTTTATTTAAAAATCAACAGTGAAAATAGACTTAAGGGATTTTATAGAACAAACCAACATATAAAAGAGACATATAACATTATATAAGATTAGTTGTTCTTTTGATATTAAACAAAAAGCTCTGGTCAGCTTACCTTCATGCATGTGAGTCTGTTTTGGTCCCATATTCTGAGAGCAACTCTGAACAGTGACACCGAAACAGACCTGCCTTATAAAGCTTGTCAGTAAGTACATGTTACTACTATACTTTAAGTTAATCCCTAAATCAACACTCATGACAGCAGCTGAGAAGGACATTAGTCAACAAAAATAAGATGCTTATCATGCTCCTCCTTGGCCATAGTGCTGTAATCATTTAGAGACAGCTAAAGCAGCAGTTGTGTAAATCCCTCAAATACTGGTTTATAATTGAGCACAACAACTGTCACATAACTGTGCAAAACAAACTGTGAAAGGGGAACTTTATCTAAATAAAAGTGCCAGTGAACTGATGTAAGAAAGCTGAGGGTAACATTTCTGCATTCAAGAGTGCATACAATAAACAGTAGTTAAAACTTAACCAAAAGCACAGAGCTTGCAGGCATACAGATCCGTTGTGTAAGCAGGATTTCACTGCCATATTCGGCTTCATTTTAAGTCATTCATACTCGGTATAATAGTTTATTTTAGCAAAGTTCTGCTACACAAATTTGTATTCTGTTTGGACATTTTGGATCTTTGTTTTGAGAAGATGAGGGATTTATCCTTTCTTTCTTAGAAATGTGAACTAAGGATAACCACAGCAGACTTTTGCTCTCTGAAATAATTTAGGACTAAAACACAAACAGAAAGTTTCAGAGAAAAATCCCCAAGATCAATACAAGGGCTTAACAGAGAGGGATTTCTTTTTCAGTTGCTCCAAATCTTTGCTCACTTGTTCAAAGTTTTAACGTTTTAAACACGAACCACATTATTAATTATTTATTATTATTATTATTAATAATAATAATTATAGTTTATTTCATTTATTTAGACTTTAAGATTAGATCCTTGGTTTAATTTTTAACGATGATCTCCTTATATGTATGTCAATAGTGGAGTAAAAGGCGAAGTTTTTTTTTTCCAGAAATGTAGGTTACAGTGGAGTATAGTAAAACACAAATGCTTTAAAATTACTCTTAAGTGCAGTATTGAGTAAATGTAGGTTGCTTAATAGCCATGGCTTCACGCCATAAATCTATATTTATATACAGTTCATCAGTGTGAGCAGCAGCGCCCTCTGCTGGCCCACGGTGTTGCTCCCTCGCAGGACACACTGCAGAGGATGAGCTCAGCTGATTTTGTGCCTCCCCGTTATTATGTCCGCGATCGGGCGCCGCCAACACCCAAAGTCAGTGCGGCAAAACAGGCGAGTGGCGCTCAACATCTCGTCTAATGAATGAGTGCGCAGGAAGAAGTATGAGTCACGAATGAGGTCTGCAGGATGTCTTTCAAGGTAAACCAGCTTTCTCCGTCCATCATTCTGTGCACGCAGCCTGAGAGGGCCGCAATAAGGTAATTGATCGCACCCGCTTCCTCTTGAAGTGCAGACTTGTTTATTTGGGGGTTATTGAACGATCTGCTATGTTTCACTATGAGCCCGGTGAGGTAGCACTTGCTCTGACATTTGAATGGCTGCTTACTGGCCTGGGCGATCATAGAGTCCAACTCGGTGTGTGTGCATCCGGATTTGCTGATGTAATAGCATGTCAAACGGCCCATGGTACTAGCGTGCACGTGAATGTGCGTGCACAAGTATGCCCACATACCTTTTATTACCGGTACTGAGAGGAAACAAATCATTTTACGCACATTTTGGACATGTCCCCCTCTTCTGAGGACAAAAAGCAAGTCCCCATTATTCATGAGTAACTTGTTAAATTTTATGGTAAAGACTTAAAGTTAGCACAAACTTTAAACCCTAACTTTGGTTGAGATGTGATGTGATGTCATAAATATGATTATTAATCTCTTGGCACACTTTATTGATGACTCACCTGTCATTCATATTCAGGTGCATCACAACACTCAACAGTAACACCTGGATGCACTCTGCTGTCCTTACTGTCTGCTCTCAGCATTCCTAACGCTCTAATGGTAACTTTCAGGTCAGTTTTTGTGTTGTTGTGTGTATTTATCCTCCAGAAGGAAACACCCCTGGCTAATGCTGTGTTTTGGGCAGCGAGGAAGGGGAACTTGGCTCTGCTTCAACTGCTACTCAACAGCGGGCGAGTGGACGCAGACTGCAGAGACAGTGTATGGACACTGCATGCTGTGGCTGCTCAGATGCACACTTTAACCATATTCCACCTGTGGTAGGGACACAGAAAGCTTCAAGCCTTACCTGTGGGGTTCATGTAGTGCATGTGTGTACCATCACAATTCCTCATCCATTAATTGTTTTCTCTCTCTCTCTCTCTTTCTCTCTTTGTCCTATAAACAGTTGAAAGTTTTGCATGTTAATCCAGAAATATGCAGAATTCTGTGGTTTCATCCCTGCCGTCACTACACTGTTTACCTGGTCATTGCAACAAAACAAATATGCTCATTAATGTTTCTTTCCAGTATGGAACAACAGCGCTGATGGTGGCATCATACAGCGGCCATTATGACTGTGTTAAAGAGCTTATCATGCAAGGGGCTGATATCAACTACCAAAGAGAGGTATGCTGGGGAAATGAAACCCAATGAATTAACTAAATACTCTTACAGACTCCAAAACATAAAGTGTTGGTAAAGGTGTTTTTACATTGTCAGAATTAGGCAAATACAATATTAGTGAATGAACTTGACAGATGTTGACTGTCCAGGCTTTAAATTTAGATGTGTTGACAGATGGATTTATCTTATTTCAATGGAAGCATACTCATGCTAGCTTTACCCCCTTTGTCCAGCCTTTGTGCTGAGCTAAGGAAACTCACTGTCTGCTACCGCCGGTGAATTTAGAAGGTCACTACAACCTGCTGGCACATAGCTCCTGAAAACCCACTAATTGTTGTTTTTACACTTTCCAGTTTTCCAGACATGGATTAGAAATTCGTCCAGACCAAAAGAAAAATATTGAAGTTTTAAATTGAATAAAGTTTTTAGTCTAGGACTAGACTTCCGCCATGTCTGGAACACTGTGCCTTTAACTGTTAATTACTGAGCCAAGGTGTGTATATGTGGATTGTTCTGCTGGAAGACCCAGGCTAGCTTTACTCCCTTTGTCCAGCAGTTGTGCTACGCTAAGCCAGTACTGCATCATCTGGTAAATAAGGTCTTAAGATCTTGTATTATGTAAATTCATGTGCTTTAAATTTGTTTATACACCCTCTGGCCACTTGATTAGTTACACCTTGGTAGTTCTGGGTTGGACCCCCTTTTGCCTTGGAAAACATTCCTAAGCGATTTTGCTCTATATTGGCATGACAGCATTCAAGTCGCTCCAGATATGACATCCGTGATACAAATATCCAGTTCTACCACATCCCGAAGGTGTTTTATTGGATTGGGATCCTGTGACTCAACTAGAGGTTGTTTGAGTAAAAAGGCAGAAATTGATCCATGCTGTTGTTGTTCGTACTAAATTCTAACTCTACATTCTGAAAGTTACAGCAGACTGTTGTCCTATTTTGGTGAGCCTATGTGAATTGTTGCCTCAATTACCTGTTCATAGCTGATAGGCCACAGCAGCGGGTGCTAGTTCTATCTGCTTAAAAGTTAAGGTTTTGTGTTCAGAGATGCACAACATGTTTATCCTCCTGACTACCAGGAAAAAAAAATGTTGTCCAATCAAAAAAAAATTTAAATCCCCCAATGTTTGTAAGGTAATTAGAAGACTGAAATAATTTTTTGGGGAAAAAAAAGTTTAAATTTTTTAGATATCACATGTCCACTGCAGAGGACATTGGAAGGCCGAACATGTAAAAATGAACTTTGATGGCAAACATTTGCTTCAACTCTTCACCAAGGAGAAGTTTGAACTCAAGGAACTGTAGTGGTTTCTTCCCCCAAAACTGCAAGTCACTGCTATACTGAAGCCACGAGTTGGTGATTGCCAGATCAAAAAGTAGAAAACTGCACATACTGTCAATTTCTGAGTGTGAGAGACCATCCTGTAGAAACTCAACATTCAATATGGTCCACGTCACCTATATTGGTAGTGTACTCAGCAATTGCCAGTGGACTTGGCACATGGACAAACCTTTTGTTTTTCTTAGACCATCTTGTGCGTCTGTCCTGAGGTTGATTGCCATAGGCAGAGGATGCCATGACAACTGTCCAACCACTTAATGACAGCAAGTTCAGGTCTGAGTACCATCCCTGATGCTCCTCCTTCTTTCTTCTTCAAGGGCTTATTCCCTATGATCTTTTTCATCAGACAACTCAAGATCTGAGTTTCCCTCATCAAACTGCAATAAATTTCTTTCTGCTTCTAAAAAGGACTCCTTTTCTGGTCATTTAAAAAAACAGAACAAAATGGAAGAAATGACTACAAATGTCCACTATGGAGGACATTTTTTAAACACTTCAATACTATACTAAAATGAAGTTAGAATTAAGCATACTATGTTTTAATGTGTTATTAAGAGACTTATTTAAAATATGCTGACAATATTTATAGCTAAAAAATTGCTCAATAAGAAGTTTTATGCACTTACTTTTCTTCTTCCCATAAAATGTGCTTGCAGCGATGGCTGCCATGTTCCTTAATGAAAAAACTAAAGTTCCCAAAGCTCCACCCCTTCACATTTGGTATCATTGGAAAGCCCTAAATGTCCTCTGTAGATACCAAAAGGAGGCAATTCTGTAGTATGCAGTGCATGGGAGATATTCAGGTTTAGAAAGGTGCTCTACAGAGGACAAATTTGCATTGCTGGTAGTCAGGAGGATTTATGCAACCTTTGCATACCCTGAACGCCTTAGTTGTAACAAGTGATTATTTGAGCTACAGTTGCCTTGGTTTCAGCCCAAAGCAATCTGGCCATTTAATCTGACCTCTGACATCAAGAAAGCAATTCTTTGTTGATGTCAGAGGTCTTGCTGCTTGCTCTTTTTTTGGGACCATTCTCTGTAAACCCTAGAGATGACTGTGCCAGAAAATCTCAGGAAATCTGCAGTTTTTTTTTTTTAAATACTTGCACAAAGTAACTTAAATTGACTTTCTTGATTTGAACTTCAACAGGTCTACGTGCCTAAAAAGATTGAGTTGCTGCCATGTAAGTGGCTGATTCAATACTTTTGTCAATAAGCAGTTGAACAACAAAGAGGCCAGTGAGTGTAGTCTATCAATTTAGTATCTTTTGGATGTGTTTATACGCGGATTTCTCTCACCTACAGGCAGTAGGTCACCAAGGTAGTTTTCTTCCTTTTTCCAACCGTTCTCATGCTAACCGGCTGGTGTTTCACTGGGAAGCGACAGCAAGTTGCTGCTATAGGTTTGGTGCATATAGTCCTCATTAACTGTCTGCCCTACACTTTGGTTATATTTCAACCTTTGTGCTAATGTTTTTTTTTCCGTTTTTTTCCCCGCCAAATAAAACTGTCTATAATGTTAGTTTTATGCTTGAGTAGAATCTTATTTGTAAGAAAACAGGGCCATATGTGCAGCAAAATTCCCCCAATTGGACACTTATTTATTCTATTCCTCATGTCAGATATTCATGAAAGGTTATATTGTGTACACCATTAGGGTAAAGTTGAGGTAAACAGCGGTGTCTTTTTTTTTTTAACTTTCCAGACAGGTTCTACCGCTTTGTTCTTCTCCTCCCAGCAAGGACACCATGAAGTTGTAAAGCTCCTCTTTGAATTCGGTGCCTCCACTGAATTCCAGACAAAGGTATGCAACAGGGTGCAATGATGTGTATCATGGCCTTTAGAATACTGGGTGTGAAGGAGAATGCTGCAGTGCTATCATCAGACTTCAGAATGTGGAGATAAAGAGACAGCGATGCACAAACAGTGCTGCTGTGACTTTAAAGATATTTTTGTTGTTGCCGAACACTTTAGTCATTCTTGTGCATCCATGTGTGTTTATGTGGCAGGATGGTGGCACAGCTCTCACTGTCGCATCTCAGTACGGTCACTCCAAAGTGGTGGACATCCTGCTGAAAAATGGAGCCAATGTTCACGACCAGCTCAACGTGAGGCTCTTTGCATTTACGTCTGCAGCCTCTCGCTCTCAGTACGCCGTCACTGTCCTGTCTGTTAAGTCTATTTGTCTGTCAGAAGCACAATGGTTAGCTGCACACATTGTCCCAGCAACTGGAATCTAGCCTCTCAGGTTTCTGCAGACTGCTGAGTCAGACATGAATCATACTGGGCAGGATAACTGTGTGTTTCCTTGGTGCCATGGAAAAACAACCTGCTTACACAAAAATGTGCTTATAAATAGTACTGATGGAATCTTGTTTTAGTGATGTAGTCTATGCCTAATTGGAAGATTTTCCAAGCAGATTTCGAAAATCTAGTGTGAGGTAATTCTTGTTTTGCAGGATGGTGCCACCCCTCTTTTCCTTGCTGCCCAAGAGGGTCATGTGACTGTGATTCGTCAGTTGCTGTCATCCGGTGCCAAGGTCAACCAAGCAAGGGAGGTAATGTCCTCGCCAAACTCTGCCTCTTTAAAACAGAGCTCTAAACATGTTGTCACCTACTCCTGCTAATTGTCCCTCAATACCTACAACCCCCCTCTTTATCAATTCCCTCCTCCAGGATGGCACTGCCCCCCTGTGGATGTCAGCCCAAATGGGTCACAGTGAGGTGGTGAAGGTGCTGCTCTTACGTGGTGCTGATCGGGATGCTGACAGACAAGTACATTGATCTTTTAGGATTAATAAAGTACATCAAAGTGTACATAAAGGGATTTTTACTATTGATTCCTGCCATTCTGCAGTGTGGAAAGTGTGACATTACATAAGACTAGGAGGCTGCGATCTGTCTTTATAGAAACATTTTACCATAAAAGGTTTTTGATTTGTAATTATATTGATATTATAGATTGAATTTGCAACTGTATGCAGATACTTACACTTATATTTAACATTTCAAAGTTGGATGAGAGATTATCTGTTGGTGGGAAACGTGATATAGTCAAAGGCTTTTAAGGAAGTGAGTAACTGAAAATGGACTCGTGATTTTTGTGACAATTTTAACAATTGTATGCTTTTTTTTGTGTCTTTCAAGGATGGATCAACAGCGCTGTTCAAAGCAGCGCTGAAAGGCCACAATGGCGTCATTGAGGAACTCCTCAAATTTTCTCCATCACTTGGCCTTCTTAAGGTAAAACATGCTGCTGTAGATGTCTGTTTTGGGAAATAGCTATGGTTAAGGCACAACTTGTCAAGCTCTCGAGCTTTTCTGCAACACCAAAAAAATAGTCTGGCACAAACACAGTGTGTTCTTTTACAAACTTAAACATATAGAACAAATTGTTTTATCAGCAATGTTTAGTGGGCTTGTAGATAGATTTTGCATGTTTTGTAGGATGGATGTTACCCGCTTAGAGAAAGTCAAGATAGTGATTTCCTCTTTGTAAAGATTTGAAGATTTGACATCAGTAGAAGCACAGAGAGTAACTTAAAAATATTTGCAAACTATTGATCCAAAGAAACAACATCCCTGGGCAGGTAAAGCTGTGTTTTCATTCCCAGGGATTGCAGATGGAAAATGGCTAATAGCTAAATCTAATACAATATACAACAGTGATATAATTTTTTTTATACATGGACACTAATAATAAAAAGGTTTTAAAAAAAAAACCCAACAACACTGATATCTTTATGTAGCAATGAGTAACTTGTATGTACAGCACATGACAGTACTGTTGGAATGTAATCAGTAAAAAGGAAATCAAATAAAAATAATAATAACAATAAAAATCACTGTCTAGGAAAAAATGAATAAGCCTATAGTGTCAAACCAAAATAGCGGTGCTAAATTTTATACCTAGATAAAAAATTATTATTACATTTCCAACTGCTCATAAACAGAACAAAAGAGGATCTAAAAAAAGCTGAACTATCAAATAAATACTATTAAAAACATATTACTAGTAGTGTCAGACAAACCCAAAAATACCACCCACATCACGAGTAGCTCAGTGCTCAAATAGCAAGGAACACTGGTTCAGAGGCACTATATCCAGCTCCACTAACAATCAGATGAATTTGCTCCGTGGGCAGCCGGGCAGTCAGAGTGGGTCATGGCTGACAGGCCTGAAACATGGTTACAGAGACAGCTCTCTTCCAAAAAGACACAAAAAGAAAGAAAGTCAGTGGACCTGCCATCCCCATTTCCATTTTTTGTGTTAAACTACATTATCTGGCTGCTGGCTCTTTCTTTTTATTTAGTGTCCCAATATTAAAGCTGTTAATCAATCTTGTAATCTAATGCTGAACAAGAAAAGGAAGATGCATGCTTGTGAAATGCCAGATACTATTAAAGGAAAAGTAATAATATTAAAGAAGGGTAGTTCATATTTGTGTCTTGTCTACAGAATGGCTATACTGCCCTTCATGCTGCTGTTATGAGTGGAAGTCTTCAATCTGTTCTGCTGCTACTTGGAGCGAATGCTGACCCAACGCTACTCAATAAGGTGGGATAGCTGACAAACGGCAGACAACCTAAGTATATAATCTCATTAGATATTATAATCAAAGTGTTTCCCATGTATCTTTTGCAGAATAGTGAACTCCCTGCAGATCTGACAAAGAATGATCGCATCCTTAAGGTTTTACGTCCAAAAATCCTGAATGGACACAGCTGATAATGGCACAGATTCCTGCCTTCACGCTTGTCTGTGTAAGGAGGGGGAAAGAAAACAAGTGTCCAATCCACCCAATTACAACATGTACTGTACACGGTGCTTGCTTTTGGTTGAAATTAAGCTGTCGTATGCCGAACAAACCTGGACAAAGTATAGCGCAACACAAGAAACATTTCTCTAACATGTGCATCATCCCCTACTGGTCTCCTGTTTATTTGTGTTTATCCCAAGTGTTGTCAGATTTCTATATATTTTGCACTCTTTATTTGCCTTTTTAATAAATGTAATAAAGTGTAATTTTATTTATTAATCCAGGAGTATCTGTGTGGATGTGTAATATTTTTTTTTTTTAATTACATTTTATTTGTGGTTGGAAAATGAGCAGTCATGATAAAATAAGGATCTGATATTACGTACACATTTTAATAACACAATGGTGTGCTAGTTATGTGACGAATACCCACTAGAGGTCACTATTATCCCTATTAACAGACACCTGTAGCTCACCTGTGCTGTGATTTAATTACATTAATTCCGTTTTTTCCCTCAAAACGTTAAAGCGGTTATGAACGTACACGTTTATATGGTAAGTTATATTAATTAAAATAACTTTCAAATGTACGGATGAAACACGAGGAATTACAGCCGCTGTTAAGCTACTTCATGTCACGTGACCATCGCGGAAGTGACTGGAGCTCTTGTTGATGCGGAAGAGAGACACTTGGGATGTTTGGCTTCTAAAGTTGTTCGACAGTAAACCATATGTGATAGATAATAGAGAAAAAGAAGAAGTGAGCGAATTTACGGTTTTATTTAAAGTCAAATACTAAACTTTGACCGACAGAAAAACATCTAATGGCGGGCGGTAATTTACAGGTAAGTGGCAGACATTTACTAACAATGATTACATAAGACTGCCCAAATCAAAGAGATGTTAACTCGGCTTTTAATAAACTCAGCCTTTTATTAAATAAGCAACTAGGGATTTTATATTGTTTGAATGTCTAATTTAGAGACTAACAATAAGCCAACTTGAATGTATTTACCCATAAATTCAATTATAAGTAATGGAAAAAAACAGGCACTACTGCGTAAGGAGTGTAAATCACTACTAATGCTTCATAGATGAAGAAACTCTAACAATATTTAGTTGGGGCTTTATTGTCCCATAGTGAAACATATTTTCTAGCTGTTTTCCCTTTTCCAGTGATGAAAAGTAGGAAGGTAAAGAACTAAATTACTTTATTTACATAAAAGTTAGCTTTTTGCTACTTTGTTTCTGTCTCAGGGAATTTAAATGGGCAGAGTTGTACTTTTTACAATTAGAAAACAATGTATAACTTAAACTGTGCAGGTAATTGTTGCTATGGATAGCAAAAACAACAAAAACAAAACTTGGCTCATTGTTTAAGCTGTCCATGAACTGTTAGCAAGTCACTGAAGTAGCTTTAATATCCCCCAAATTACCCAGTATTTCACAAACAGAACAAATATGATGTACAAGGAGGCCTGTATGTGTATAACATTTATGTAAACATTTTCTTGTTTTCTTGTTTTTTGGCCCTGAGGTGTTTCTAGTAAGACCCCACCCATTGGATGGAACAGCCTAGACTGAATGATCAATATAGAATAATTATGTCTAATTTTAAAATGCTGCATATGTAATCACAGGACACCACAATTTAGAATTTTAATTTATGGTGTTAGTAATACTTTTGAATACTATCTTTTTAAAGTGTATTTTATAAGTTTAAAATGGTAAATGGCCTGTATTTGTATAGCGCTTTACTAGTCCCTAAGGACCCCAAAGCGCTTTACACATTCAGTCATCCACCCATTCACACACACATTCACACACTGGTGATGGCAAGCTACATTGTAGCCACAGCCACCCTGGGGCGCACTGACAGAGGCGAGGCTGCCGGACACTGGTGCCACCAGGCCCTCTGACCACCACTAGTAGACAACAGGTTAAGTGTCTTGCCCAAGGACACAACGACTGAGGCTGTTGGAGCCGGGGCTCGAACCAGCAACCTTCCAATTACAAGACGAACTGCCAACTCTTCTCCACGATCGCCCCACCATGCTAAACAACTTACCTGCATATATGACCAAACAAGAAGCACAAACAAGAACCAAAAAAATTCATATAAGTTCTATAAGTGTGTAATAAATCCTTCTGTTTCATCTTGTTTGTTTTCAGAAAGCCATAGATTTGGCCAGCAAGGCCGCAGAGGAAGACAAGGCCAAAAACTATGAAGAGGCCCTCAGATGTTATCAGCACGCAGTGCAATACTTCCTTCATGTTGTGAAGTGTGAGAAACTTGTACCACTGTTAGATTTGTACATCCTTTTTGCTGTTTTAAACTCTACTTCGGTTCCACATGAATGATCTAAGTCAGTTTTTGCGTTGCAGATGAGGCCCAAGGCGATCGGGCGAAGCAGAGCATCAGGGCAAAGTGTGCTGACTACCTGGACAGAGCTGAGCAACTGAAGCAATATCTGAAGAAGAAAGAGAACGCTCCTCCAGCCAAACCCGTCAAAGAGTCTGGTGACAAAGGGTAGGAGCAATCAATAAATCTGAGTCCATTTCCCAATGTTTGTTGCTTTGTTTACAGTTTAGACTTTGTTCTGCAGGCTGGGTAATTTCCTGAAAGGAAAGCTAAATGTAATTTGGTCTGAATAATGGACAAAGTTGAGAGTTATTGTTAGTTGCCTTGAAATTCTATGTGCAATGTTTTTAACGGACTGAGACAGAGATCAGTTTAAATGTGTACAAATATATATCCATTTATTTATTAAATTTAAAGTTAGATCTGTGACAGATATTTTAAAATGTTTTTGCGTCATTGTAAATTCAGCGGACTTTCTTTGAGTCTTAAACTTTACTCTCACAATCGTTCGCTCAGAAGCACATTGCTCAATCTGCATCCACTTTGCGGATTTAATCAATAAAAACAAGCAAAGTTATTGGAACAGTTGTTCAACAGTAAATACTTATGTATAACACTTAACGCGTAAATAAACCATTTTAATGAATCCCTTTCCAGTCAGCAGATGCATTTAATGAACATTTAATGCAGCTGAAGCAGGAACGTCTGTAAACCAGCCTGTATTTATCTATAAATGGATGAGTAAGTCCCATTTAATGAGGTGTCAACAGCGTTTTTATACTGCATGAAAAATGTTTCATTCAGTTCATTAAACCTTTCCATTCAGCTGAAGACAGCAGAACATGTATGTTAATGAATTTGAAGCCTCTGAATTTTTATTTATTATTTATCTGTTGAAGTGTTGCTCTGATAATTTGCATGACGACCCACTTACCTTTACAGTTGTTAAATCACCTGCAGATGTCAGCCGGTTGCTATAACTTAATCACACTCACTTGTATACACATCAGACAGGTTGTTCTACCAGTTATGCTTTATTATTGAAATGCATTACATATAAACACTTTTACATAACATTTTAACCACTGAAATACAGAGTTATTACTTGATGTGCTCGGTTCCATCTGGGGTATAACACGAATTACCAAACAAATGTCTTTTCATCATCTGCAGCATTGCTGTGTGATTAGCTCAGTCTTATAAAAAAATAGGTCTAAGGATGGGATTTCTTAATCTCCAATTGCTCTGATCTCTATTTAACTTCAGCAGCTTTAATTTAGTGGGTTGAACAAAAATACTGCATAATACTTTGAGGAATTAAAGCATTTTGTAATACAACTCAAAAGTAGTTGAATTAAATAATTGAAACTAAAATGTTCATTTCTAATACTTGGTTGAAAACCCTTTTCTGGCAAATACAGCCTGAAGTCTTGAACTCGTGGACATCACCAGATGCTGGGTTTCCTCCTTTTTAATGCTCTGCCCAGACTTTACTGCACTGATTTCAGTTGCTGTTTGTGAGCCTTTCTGTTCAAAGTTTAGTCTACAACAAGTGAAATGCATGTTTGTTTTGGTTAAGATCAGGTCACTGACTTGGCCATTCAAGATTATTACACATCTTTGCTTTAGTAAACGCCTGGGTTTGGCTGTAAGTCAGTGTCCAAATATATAGACCTAACTAGTGCTGTTCGATATAACGATATATATCGGACGACGATATAAAAACGTCTATCGTTTCATTTTACGCTATCGTTTGTTTCGTGGTGTCGCAAAATAAACTGTTTACGGCAATATTTTTTCATCGTTTTGATGGTCACTGTAGTGGCTATATTAATTTTTTAAAGTTCTCTCTTTCTCTTACATTTAATATAACCACAGCACCTGTTTTTATGCGTTGTGGTTAGCAACAACGGTTGCACCATCACGTGTCCGCTTGTTTATGTTCCACATAAACCTTTCACAATAAAGCTCAAGATCCTGTTGAGGCTTTTCAAAATAAACTGAATCACATAAAAGAGCAGATTATTTACGGATGAGAAGTAAAAAAGAGCCGCCAGGTGCTAAAAAATAAACCTTATACTCAAACGTTAGAACAGGCTTTTCCCCGCAACACGCCGTGTAATAAACACTCACAAAGAAAACGGCGGCCTTTACAACTTATGTCTAAAAATGTATTGTTTCATGCACTGGTTAAAACACTCGACTCCAGCTACACGACGCACAGCTGGAAAGACTTCCCGCAAGTCGAGCTGCCTGAGATTCACAGAATTTACAGAAAATGTTACATTTGTGTGATTTATATCGTTATCGGACGATAGAATTCTTATATCGGGATATGAGATTTTAGTAATATTGCACAGCCATAGACCTAACTGTATTATTCTTTGAATCTTTGTCATAATTTCCCCAGAAGTGTCTAACTCTGTGACTGTTGCTGTAAAATTGTTATGAAAGTATAAGTGACATAGTGTCACTATCTAAACATGTTTTTCTTGCTGATTTTTGGTTTACTGTATGGCTTTGCCTTTGTTGGTAAAGTGTGCCACCTGGTGTTCTGATTTAGAAGTCACACATAAGAGAACCATTAGTCAGTAGTTTGTAAAGAAAGGATGATTCCTGAATTTAGGTGGATCTGTACAGCTTTTTATTTTTACAATTAATTTGTAATATTCTTTACTAAGTTTATTTTTATTCTTACTCCCATGGGTTCTACAGTTGTTCTACAGAAGTGTTCTGTCTTCTTCTTGCCCTATGCTTATAACCCCCTGACTTCCACCTCTCCCCACCACCACCTTTTAGGAATGAAAGTGATGAAGGTGAAGACCAAGAAAAAAAGAAGTTCCAAAATCAACTGTCAGGTGCATATCACTGACATACAATTTCTTGAAAAGCCAAATGTGTTGGTATTTCTGAACCTCATTTATTTTATAGGTGCCATTGTTATGGAAAAGCCAAACATAAAGTGGGACGATGTAGCTGGACTCGAAGGAGCCAAAGAAGCCCTTAAAGAAGCTGTTATCCTGCCAATCAAATTCCCACATCTGTTTACAGGCAGGGATTTTTTTTTTCTTTTGTGAAAAAGTTTTGTGAAAGTGAAGTTTTTCGTTTCCTTGTTTTTTTAAAGACTGAAACTTCTTTTGTAGGCAAGAGAACACCCTGGCGGGGGATCCTTTTGTTTGGGCCTCCAGGAACAGGAAAGTCCTACTTGGCCAAAGCCGTGGCCACAGAAGCTAACAATTCCACCTTCTTCTCAATCTCATCCTCCGATCTTGTGTCTAAGTGGCTAGGAGAAAGTGAAAAGTGAGGCCCAAGTTCTTTACGTAGCGGCAAAATTAAGACTATGACAAAGTTACTGTTAAGAAAAATGAATCAATTTTTTCCACTTCTGTCTGTCTTTAGGTTGGTGAAGAACTTGTTCTCTTTAGCCAGAGAACACAAACCATCGATCATTTTCATTGATGAGATCGACTCCCTCTGTGGCTCCAGGAGTGAGAATGAGAGTGAAGCAGCTCGCAGAATCAAGACGGAGTTCCTCGTTCAGATGCAGGGTGAGAAAGAAGATACTTACAGATTTGAACCAACAGCTGGAAAGACGATAAGAAGTGTCTTGAACTATGGCTCATAGTTCAGTTATTCATGACAACTGATCGTTTTAAGCATTTATTTGTCTAAAAATCATCTGTAACAGCCCGCAGCCCAGAGTCACCTATTTTTTTTCTTTATTTTGTTACAGCAAAATCACAAAAACCTGAAAATATTGAGTACTCAGTTGACTAATTGTGCAACTCTTTTCTCCTGTCAGGTGTTGGTAATGATAATGATGGAATCCTTGTCCTGGGTGCAACTAATATACCATGGTCGCTGGACTCAGCTATCAGGAGAAGGTCAGATCCACTTGTTTCTATACAAATGATCCCTACCTTTTTATCTGTGAAAAGTGCTATATAAATACATTTTACTTACTTTTACTTACCTAATCACCTCTTATATTACCTAGTACTGTTCATCAGTGTTTTCGGTGTAACAACCAGGATTTAAGAGGTTTAATGCTCGTTTGTGTCTCAGGTTTGAAAAGCGAATCTACATTCCTCTGCCGGAGGAACATGCCCGCTCCTCCATGTTCAAACTGCATCTGGGCTCCACCCCCAATAACCTGACAGAGGCGGATTTCGTGACTCTGGGCAAAAAGACAGATGGCTACTCCGGAGCTGACATCAGTATAATTGTCAGGGACGCCCTGATGCAGCCAGTCAGGAAGGTTCAGACAGCCACGCACTTCAAAAGGGTAAAACCACAGTAACCGTTGCTTGACATGCTCTTTTTGTCATATTTCTAAATGCAAAAAAACCTGGTTCAGGGATCCAGTGGAAGTATATTATTCCAAAATCAAACTAACTGTCATACTTGAAATTCATACACCTGACAAGGTGCTTATCTCATCTTTACATACAACTGTACTCAAAGAATTTAAAAACGCACCACTACATTTCTTTGCAAATGCACTGGTGTAGTTTGTGTTATATGCAAATCAGCACTCATATATTGCTTGTCATTACCTTTTAACTTAATCAGTGATAAAAACAACGTGGAAAAAAGACCAAAAAAATGTCCAAATTTGATATATCACTATATATTGTGTGTAATATAACTACAGGTTACAAAAAAAGGCAATCCATAATGAGTGTACCCCCCGTCTGCACTGACTTTGGTCAGGTGTCATCCTGTGGGATGGCAGCTTACTCTTCAGTCACTGTTGCGCTGAGTTGCTGCTGAGTCCACGTAGGAGGATTACACTGTTTTACTCTGTTACTAAAATGACTCCACTGGTTTTCTGTGGAGTTGAACTTGTCTGGTGGTTCACCCTGCCTCCAGCATTCCAGTGGGAAGATCCCAGTCAGATTGTACCAGTCGTGGCATTCTTACAGATGTAATTTTCTCCAAAGCCGTAGTGCCTTTTTATAGGCTTGGGTGTATTTGACAGAGGAGTGGTCATTTGGGATTAGCTGGTTAAAGGCATTGTGACTTCTTCCCCAAATTTGTGTTTTGAGACACATAGCTACTCACAATAAACAGTCAGGCATGTACTTTGATTGTATGCATATCAAGTTTATGCCTATAACTTGTGTTTTTATGTCTGCAACTTTTCTTGAAGCTCATTCTTTGGGCAGGAGTCTTTCTTGTAACTCCAAAATAAACTTCTATCCACTTCCACTTATCTTTATAGCTGTTGGAGACTATCCGAGCTCATAATAAATTTATCAATCTAAAATATAAATTCAACCAGAGGGAGGCAGCACTGTGTGGTGTTTCTTTTTATAATTTTTTATTCCTGTCCTTATGCCCATACTAATTCAGGTTCGAGGGTCAACATGGAACAATCCTGGCGTTGTGGTCGATGACCTGCTGACTCCGTGCTCACCTGGAGAGCCCAACTCCATTGAAATGACATGGATGGAGGTCCCTGGAGAGAAACTTCTAGAGCCAGTTGTATCCATGGTAAGAAAAGGGCTCTTTCATCAGTTGATATTCGGAAAACCACACCCACTGGATAGAAAATAATCCAGCCCAGCAAAATGTAACCGAGAGCTGAAAGGTTAACAAAGTCATTTTTGGTGGCTAAAAATGTTTGATTTTTCTAAAATGCATCTCGAATGAGTGACTAAACATTTCTCTCACTGAAACCAGATGAACAGAGTCTGCTTTCTGGAAGAAAAAAAACATAGTCTGTTTTGTACATTTTTGTAATGTTATAGAGAGGAGTCTAAGCAGTTAGCATGGATACTGTTACCCATCATTTTCAATGCTTTACATTGAAATGAAATTAACATTTGCATATTTGACTTGCCAGTGACACAGTGTTTGCTGGTTGGATCCTGCTGATTGTCAGGATTCTGCTTGCATCATACATTATTATTGCTCAGAGAAAAAAATCTTCAGTTACAGGTTATTGGGTTCTTTGCCCTCTTGTTAGTTGTTGGTCACATAACAGCAGCTTACTGGCATTTAACAGTGTTTTGCTTGTGGATGAAATTGACCAGAAGGCACCATCAAAGTCAGTGAACAATTATGAAATGTTTTTTTTTTCCTTCATTGTGGTTAACAATGAATCGCAATCTGTCTCTGTCAGTTCTCTCTCTCTGTTATTGACAAACCCAGTGACTGTAATCTATTCTGACCTACCTAATGTTCTCTATACAGGCTGACATGCTGAGGTCACAAAGCAACACCAAGCCTACGGTGAACGAGCAGGACTTGGAGAAGCTGAAGAAGTTTACTGAAGATTTTGGTCAAGAAGGCTAATAATATCTTTGTACTCAAAAATAGGACTGCACTTAACAACTATCTTTACTCTCAGTTATGCTTCAGATCATTTAATTCGCCTTTTCAACTGCTGTGTCAAAAATGGTGGAAAATGTCACAGGTTTAATGGACCAGAGGTTGCAGCAAATCAGTCTTACAGCTGACAAAAAAACATTTATCCTTTTGTCACAATCATAGATCTTTTTTTTTTTTTTTAAATCAACCAACCAGTTGAGGAATCGCCTCTTTCAGCCACGTTAACCTATCGATCCACCGAGGCTTGTGTTTACGTTATTTTTTTAAGGGTTTTTCTTATTATATTTCAAACTGAAGCGTTTTTGTTTTTTTTCTGAAACTGCATCACTGTTAGAAAAGTATGTGCAAAGGCTACAGTGGGTAGATCCTGGCATCTTTCCATCACTACATACTTTATGTAGTCTAAGGCAGATTTTAATACTTTGATTAACAGAACTGGTGTTGTGGTTGACATTTAACAGGAATTTATGCAATGAAGTCTGTGAACACTGGCAATCTTTTTTTCACTACATACAAATCATTAATGGCATCCAAAAGGATCTTCTGGGATTTAAACTGATGTAGAGAAAATGAAAGAATTTCTTAATTCTGATATGCCGTTGCACATTTTCTTTCAGCCTTCTCCTGTTAGATTACTGACACTTTACTGTGTTCTAGTTATGTTCTGACTTATTTATAAATGATTATGCTCTAGCTGTGTTGCCTTTGGGTTTTAAATGTATTTAAGAATTTCCTTTGGGTTTACAGGGGTTACATTAATAAAAAAAAAAAGGTCAACTTGTACTTTTCTTGTATTCTACTGGATATGTTCTGTGAACAGAAGTCTCAGGGCTAAATAAAGGAATTAAAACATTAACTTTGTAAATATGTTTATTTGTTAAAATACATCTCTTAGTTAACTATCATATTTCTATATTTCTAATGCAGTGTAAATCACAATTTAATTTCCTTATATGATAAGTGAATATTAATTTCACAGCAACAAACAAATTAAGACTTGTAGAAAAAATTACATCAATAAGCTGCTTGCAAAACATTTCTTATACATCTCTTAATTCAGTGTCAGTAGTGATGAAAAAATCTGTTTGAAATGTAGACCAAAATGTTTTCTATTGAGCAGAAGTTTGGATTTTAAAAGCGGTCATAATTTATATGCTGAGAAAAAAAGGGTCCTAGCCAAGTGAAATGACTCAAGAGATTTACCTGATAAGGCTTTTTTAAGTCTATGGAAATTAAAAAAAACACTTTAAATCAAAGGCATGATTGAAAAGCTGCCAATGAAAAAAACATAAACCAAGCACTTATAAATCTCAAGGAGTGATGTCCCATTTCACTTCATGTAAATGCCAGGGTTACAATATAACAGACTATATAATCAAACCAATGTTCATCAAACGGGTCCCTCAGAAAACTATGCTCATCTGAAGCTAGCTCCACCACTAATTACCTCAGGAGTCAAAGATACGATGCAAATTCACAATCAAAACAACAAAACATTAAAATAGAAAAACATACAGTAAACGGAAATAAACACAAAAAAAACATCTGTGCACCGTGAAGTGGAAGCAAATTGACAGGAGAGGACCTGAAATGTGCATGAAAGGAGTAGTGTCTTTTCTGTCATTTTGACAACTTTGAAAATTAAGTAATGCTTATATTACATTATGTTTTTTGGTTAAGAATATTCATATTCAGATAACACAAAGATGTTGGTAAACAGCAACATAGACTGTATTTGAAAGTGCTGAGAATACATGGTGAGTAATTCACTGCACATCACAATTATGCGTCAGATAGATGTAGCCCAACAGACACGTTTCATTCTAACTCACGTGATGATACAGAGAGGAGGCCATATAAATACAGGGGGAGGGAGTCACTGGCTGCTAGAAGTACATTAGTTCTGACGCTAGAATACAGAGAAGAGAGAGCCGAGTGCTAAACCGGTTGCCGCTCCAGCGAGCATGCCCAAAGCCACATCTCCTCCGTCGTCACGCTGTCGCTCCCGAATGATGACATGGTTCACTCCAGAAGCAACGTACCCACCTACAAAACACAAGTTTTATGATGGTAAGTTCATACAATTTAAACTCTGTTAAACTATTCTACTTTTTCACTTTATCCTCTGGTCACAAATAAGAACATCTAGATGGGTTTTTGTGACCCATTTGTTTAAGAATGAATTTAAAGTCCATGATACATTTTTATCTAAGTACCTGAAAAACTAATAAAGATTTTAGACTAAGCTGCATGTTTTTCTATTTGTTAATGAGCAAATGTTCTTATAGTAACTAAGATGGTATGTAATACTCTTGTTAAGCATCAGGATGACAGCACTGGTAATTACTGCGTCAGAAATCCCATTCTATGCACCATTTCCTCAGTATGGGAATCTCAGAAGTATGTTGACAACCACTAAGTTCAGTCACGTTCTGAAATGAGCCAGTTACGGATAAACAAATATTAGGCCTTTCAAAGTGGAAAGATTTTACTTTTATACTGAAGACTTCTTTTATAAGGATCAAATCCAGCCACTTTACTGCATTATGGATATGCATATTGTGAAGATGTCCGCTTGTCGACAATCAAATTTAGGTCAGAGTTTAGTTAGTCCGCAATTTTGTTGTACATCTACAGTGACAATAATGGGCTATTCTATTCTATTCTAGCTACCAGGATTCCTATAAACTAGTGGTGGGCAATGTCCAGCTGTTTACCTTGGTATTGATAAGGATAAGCAACTGTGTAGGGCTGCCCATCAGCAGAGTATACGACCTGTGTGGCCTGTGGGGGCGGTGCAGTGTAGTCTCCATATGGGCCTGGGGCATAAACCTGGCAAAAAAAATTACATTTAACAAAGTGACACAAAGGATGTTACTGTATTAATAAACCCTTTGTATTAGATGGCTTATAGAAGAAAGACTGGATTTGTTGATTTTTGTTTTGTTTTACATTAATCACTGAGTTGATTTTCACTTGAGATAGTCATGCTAAACCACAGACAAATGTTGTAAGTAGCACTATTTTCATAAAAGACTTTAGACCTGAAAAAGTAATTTTATTCAGTTATGAACATGAAAAGAAATGTATTAATGTTTTTCACCGGTTGGGGAGGATATTCCGAGTAGGGGGGAGGAGCAGATGCAATCACCTCCTGTGCAAAGCCGATCTGAGGAGCAGTGACCACCTAAAAGTATCAAATAACAAAAATCAGCAACTGAAGCTTGCCAACACCAAAAAAACTCAAGCACATAACATTAAGATAAGTGAAAACAATAAAAAAAATATCCAGTTTTCCTCCCAGGAGGACAGTTCTTCTGCTGTGCTCAAGTCACTCTTAGTTCAGCTTTATTCAGAGCTTATTCAGGTAATGTGACAGAAAATGACAGACTGTCAGTTACAACAACACTAACTTTAAATAATGTATAAAAATCTCACCATATTAACTCTGGCATCTTGAAGTGCCATTGTCCATGCCCTGCAACAAAAGCAGACATTATGTCATCTTGAGTTAAAAATGTCTGTTCTAATTACCTGTACTCAAATACATCTAACTAATTTTATGACTTGGTGTGTATGTGCAGTCTTACAGAGCATCATCTGCACTGTCTGCACACAGGCTGATGACCCGTCCATCTCTGCACACTATCTGGAACAAGGCATCACGCGTCTTTCCCTCCGGTGGGTTCAGCTCTAAAAATGCAAGTGGGGTGGTGAAACATTTAAAATTAGTGCAAAGAGGTGGGTAATAATAGCATAGGGATCAGCCGCATGAGATCAACATTAAGCGTAAGACATGTACCCTGACATCCAGCGGAGTTGCGGATGTTAATGCAGTTGACCCTCATGTGGATGTCGTCCTCCATGTCGCGCCGTTGTTGATCGTTGTAGAACACAAGTCGTCCGTCAGCCCATAAGTCAAACCAGTTTCTTTTCCATCGACGCAGTATGGTACCTGACATAGTAAAGGTAGTTTGTTTATTTTTAATGTGACATCATCTTAACCATCTGAGTATCTGACATATTTATGGCTATATTGTTTTCTTATAGATGGGTGACAAATGAAAAGAAAAAAAAGACCCCTCTTTACTGGAGTAATGAAATATCCTTCTTCCAACAAATATTCCGCGATTAGGTTGAGATCCAAAGTCTCCTGTGTTATCATTTTCATATCTCATCACTACTATCAGGCTAAAAATGTTTCATTGTAGGATACAGGTCATCTAAACCACACAATTGCCCCCACTTACAGCATAAACACTAATAGATCCATTACTGTGGAGGTCAAGCATTCATGTTTTTCCTTTAATGTGTCTGGATACTCACTTTGTCGATGAAGCCAGCCACTCTTTACCATGGCCATCTTGGAAGTAACACCTACAGAATAAAATGTAAACACATTAGAGCGCATCTGTTATTACTGAGACACTAGGAGCATATGACTGGGTGTGGCATGTCCAACACAAACCTCGTGACTGTTAGCACTATTAGCAAGTTCACAAATCTATTTTCAGAAACATAAGCTTATATAAGATAAGATAGGATAGGATAGGTTACAATAACAGCTCAATGTAATATGGCCACATGGCCAGAAATATTAACACCATGTTTAGTTACTCTGTAGTCCCCCCATGCTTAGTTAGACAATGTTTAGGACATGACATTGGTGGAAGCCAGATAACTGACAGTTCTCCTGCTTTAACCAATGTTTAGGCTATTTACTTAGATGTCATCCTGGTTTTAAGTCAGACTAGGCCAGTTGTGAGTAGGTCGTCCTCATGTTTAATAACTGCTATGCCACCCATAGCAACCCTGTTATAATGTGGATTTTATATGATATAAGTTATTTGATATGTAGGTTATCGCTAACCGTTAGCGGCTTTTTAATATAAACACGTCGCCATTACAAAGCTGACCTATCGGTTAACCGTGTTTATAATACGCTAAAACACCACAACTTGTCGTTTTACCCGTACTTGTAAACGCATTGGATAAATTAGTTACCTACTTGATTTTTTGTATGCTTTTTGGGGGGAGAGTGATATCAAGCTTTTCGTGGAGAAACAGCAAACACGGAAGTGAGATGCAAAAAAAATAAAAAGAAGAAGACTCCTTCCACGGAGAGGAAAAACCCTGACCGCTAAACTTAGCTGACACTGTTACTGTCCACAACGGAGGCCTTAAGCCACGCCCACAGAGCATCTTCACGAATGTTCAGTCTTTCCGCGAGAGGGAGGTTTTTGTTTTGGATGACGTAACCTATCAGCTGACAGTGGTGGAAAGTGCTAGCAAACGGAGCGAGGGCGCGCTTGTTGAAGTTCGTTTCTAACGTTTGGTAATCACATGGCCGACGGCGAGGCTTGTGTTAATATTCCTCATGTTTATTAAACATGATTCCATTAGGAGTGTGTGTGTAACGAATTTGCCTGTTGGTTTCTTCATGTCTGGCTGATACATTTGGTTAATTATGCATTAAATTGGCATAGAACGCGTATAAACTAGTATAAACACAGTAGCTGAGGAGATTGGGAGCAAAGTTACGTGTTCGTAATACTTGAGTAAATGAATAGTACTTAGAAACTTTTTTTTTATTACATGTGAGGTACCAAACTTAAAAAGTTGTGCCCTGTCCTCCAGCACGCATGTTCGGAGTGAAGGCACGCTTGGGGTAAACTGTCACTTCCTGTGTTTTTGTGAGCCTCGCTTCATTTAATTCGGCGAAGCCTGTGACTGCAGACAAACTCGCATTACGCCAAGCCAACTGACCAACGGGCGACCCAGGGTTACAAAACAAACCCAACCTCTCTGGCCAACAGTTTGAGGAGCTAACGAGGGTAACGCAGAAGCTAAACAGCTAATTCGAAATGGCGACTGCAATATACTTGGAACATTACCTTGACAGTAAGTATCCAGAATGTGGTAAATTTCTGTCAACAGATAGAAAATGCAACTTTTAAAGGTTTAATTTATTATACATTTTTGGACAGCGGTTTCAATGCAGTGCGTTTGCAACTAACAGGCTGTTAGGTCATTAGCCCGCCAGCTAACTGGTTAGCATTACCTTAGGAGTGATAAAGGTGGGGTAGGTAAGATCTTAATGTGTCTTGTCAGATTCAGTCAAAAGGGAATGTAATAATTAACTGTTTTCACATATTTAGGAAAACTGACTATAGGTTGCAACCGTTTCTGATTCAAGCGCTAGCAATGTTGGAGCAGCCTGTAGCTACGCAACTAGCATTAGTTATATAAGGGCATTTAGAGATAAATTGTTATATTAACAGTCTTTATATTTAAGCTAGGTTCATTTTAGTCACAGTTTGTGTTTTTATATAGGAAATCATTTACAACCTGTTGGTTGCCGCGTTTCCCGTAACAGTTTACGCGCCGGGGCGGGGTGTTTGAAGTGTGTCACATGGCATACAGAGTGTATTTACTTGACAGTTGTTGTTATCATGAGCCCTTAATAATGTCTGCTTTTGGGACAAATGTAATACATGTGAAGCGTTATTTTGTACAGACAGATTGTTACACGACAACATTCTGCAATTCATGCACACGTGAGTGTATGGTTGTGATGGTATTTGTGTTGTGTTTAATGTGCAGATTTGACCTCAAGTATTTTAAATGTTGTATGAAATGTTATATAAGTATAATGACAAAAGTAATTTTAGCCTTTAGCATTAAAGGTGAAGAAGAGAATGCAGGCAGGATGGAGTGGGCAGAGACAAGTGTCAGGGCAGATTTGTGACAGAAGGATAGCAGGAAGACTGAAAGGGTTGAGTAGGTGGTAGCGAACGCTAACAAAAAGATTATGATTTGCATTGGGAGTGACCAGGTTGGACAGAATTAAACTCATAAAGAGAGGAAGTAGAACAAGAAGGGCTTCAGTGTAAAGCTTAATGATTTCTAAGTTGTAATTAATGTCATAATAACCTCTGCTCTTTACTTCTTATTTATATTTCTTTGATTTTAAAGCATTCAGTTGAGTTTGTGCATTTGCCTTTTTAAAAGGCATTACAGCACAGGTTATAATTAATTAAGTGTGATGATTATGTTCAGAAAATGTAATTGGAATGAACTGTTAGGCATTAATATTGTCTAATCTTTTCTTTAGGTATTGAAAACTTGCCATGTGAGCTACAAAGGAACTTCACTTTGATGCGGGACCTGGACAACAGAACTGAAGGTGATCATTTAATCTCTTAACATTACAGTCAATAAAACGCTCTGTGGACTTATACAAAATAAACAAATGGCTCTGACAGTATAATCTGTGATACCTGAAAACCCAGTTTAGCCAGGCTCCTTATGTATTAGGTTGTGCCACTTACCAGTAGTCTTAGACAAACAGTTGTCAATAGTTTACATCCACTCACTTTCGACCCTTTGTGACTAGAGAAAATCCAAAATATATTCAAACTTGTGCATCCAAGTCTTGTTTGATAAGGGTATTAAAGATTTATGCGATGCAGTCATTCCACCCTGGAATAAGAACAGTTCAAGGAAATCATTTAAAGGAAATTATTAATTCATAGCAAGAGATACGAACTCTATATATACATTAAGGGTAAAGGCATATTAAGTTGGCAGATTCTAATTTCAGTATAATATACAGAAATGAACAGGATTATTAAATTATTAGATTTTGCTATGGAGTTCAGAGCTCTTGTGGGAAAGTGACCTACAAACCAATCAGATAACAGTATTCCTTGTTGCTGTGGTAAATCTTTTCCCACCTTAATGTATATCAATGTTACAAACATTAGGTTGCAACATATTGATATGTCAGATTTGCATGAAAACAAATAATTTATTCAATACAAAATAATTGATTTTTTTTTTAAAAATAGTTTAGATTTTTTTATATTTTTTAGATATAAAAATTTAAACTTAAATGAATAAAACATTTGACCCTGTTTTAGCTCTATGCAAACTTACCATGGCATTCATGCCTACAATAACTGTATGAAAATTTCTGACCATAACTGTAAATAGGAAGCTTACGTGTAATATTTTATCACTAGTTTTATTCAGCACTTTAATAATCATGTTGTTGTGCAGAAAAGAAAGGAGAGATCGACAAACTGGCTGAGGAGTACATCGCAAATGTCAAGAATCTAGCTTCTGAGCAGAGAGTTGAACACCTGCAAAAGATCCAGAATGCCTACAGCAAGTGCAAAGAGTTCAGTGATGACAAAGTCCAGCTCGCAATGCAGACATATGAAATGGTTAGTCCGAAACAATGTGTCTCCTGTCACTGTCCAGATTCTAATGTCATATTATTTTTGTTTTTTGTCCCTGTTTATCAGATTTACATCATCAATGTGTACATGTACTCAGATTTAAATATGCACAATATCTTTCTACCGTAGGTGGACAAACATATCCGCAGGCTGGATGCAGATCTGGCACGGTTTGAGAATGAACTCAAGGAGAAACTAGAAGTGAGCTATGACAGTACAGAGGGCAGAAGTTTGAAAAGTAAGCTGAGTGACTGCACGCCTTTGATCATAAACGCAACAAAAGACAAGAGTTTTAAGTGTGTAATAATGCAAATATTTTCCCCAGAAAATGATGTGCGGGGGCTGAGAGAGAAGCGTGGATCCAGGGGAAGAGGAAGGAAAGGTTCAGATGAAGATTCTCCCAGAAAGAAAAAGATGAAAAACAGGTAAGTTTGAACCAGTGCTTCAATCAAACTCAAGTTTACTGGATAATTGGCTCATGTTTATATTTAGTTCTAACCATGCTCTGTATGTTGGTCTTTTAGCCCAGACTTGAGTGACGCTCTCCTGCCTATGCAGCCATCAGACGTGTTGGACATGCCGGTCGATCCAAATGAACCTACATACTGCCTGTGTCATCAGGTGTCATATGGAGAAATGATAGGATGTGATAACCCAGATGTAGGTTTTCACTTATAATTTCTTCTTAAGCTTTATTGTAAGAACCTTTTTGACTGAGCAAGTTTAGGTTTAATTTTTAAATTGACATTTTTCTTTGTTATTCTTGGTTTTAGTGCCCCATTGAGTGGTTTCACTTTGCTTGTGTTGATCTCGCCACAAAACCCAAAGGAAAATGGTACGTTTTTGAGTAGTAACAGTGTTATTCTCTTTGTCTGTGATGAGAATATAGTTATTCATGGAATCTTACGCTTTTTCTTTCTGCAGCAAATTAACATATTCCCCTCCTTTTACTCTGTCAGGTTTTGTCCGAGATGCACCCAGGACAGGAAGAAAAAATGAGTTTTCATATTTCCAGAAGTGCTTCTCTAACATCTGTACTTTGGGTAGAGTTTCGTAATGTCATAAATATATAAAATATTTTAGTTCGTACAGCGCACCATATAAATGGTGTATCATAAAGCTTTCTTTAAAGGCCTAATCCGGAGTTGGAGTATATCTATACTTGTTGCTTTACTATGTCCGTGTTATTGGATTTCAAGATGCCTGTCTTTGTCCAGTAGCTCTAAAATGACTAGTTTACCTATGTATTATTTGTCTAATCTGGGTAAATCTGGGTAATCTTCTGGGTGTAGTTTTCACAAATTGTCATTCAGAAAGTTGTTCCTCTTAAGTCATTTGCTTTGTGTGTATGTGTGTGTGTGCGCGCGTGTGCATGTGTAAAGACTAACTCAAAAACCCGGATTGTGTCTTAAGCATACTTGAAATGTCAGTTTTATAAATGACTTTTTAAAATAAATTAACAGCCTGCTGAGAATTTACAATTCAGATACCCTAATCCATGTGTAAATGGTGATGGGAAAAGGAATTGTCAGTTTTTTTGTTACTACCTCCTTAGGGAATACATCGGCACTGCAAAATGACTGCAATTGATAACAATGTAAAAAACTGTTTTGATTAGCTTAAACCAAACTAGCAAAGCAATGTAAAGTCATTCTGTATTGCATTTTAACAAAAACCTGCGACATCTTTGAATGTATTGTGGTACTTATGGTCAGTCAGTCAGTCAGTCAGTGTCTATTATCAACTGAATGAGGTATTTAAGCACTTTGAATGACATTTTCCCCTTACAAGGTTTGATAATGCAGGCTTAGTTTTATGTTATAGTTTATCTCTTTTAAAACTTTGCCATAGAACATCATGTCAGACCATATATATGGAAGTGTATATATATATTTTGTATGATATAAAACTATTTTGTGCACACATTTTTTCCCCCAAAGATATATTTGTTGTATTGCTTACTTCCTGGTGTACACTCAGATTTTATTTAATAGGATTTTAGAATCTTCATATTCAACTGTGAATATCACTCATCTAGGTGTAAGCCACAAATAAAAGAACCAAAGTCTTTGTATTTTGTAAAATTCAGTATTTTATAACAAATAAAGATTCACTATTATCCATGCATGATTTTGTTTACTGCAGCTTAAAATGGAATTAATGTTTGTTATCAGGTTGTTCTCAAACATTGTTTGGTTTTGTTTCCCCTGATTTAGAAATCTTCCTCTAAACTCTGCCTGTTTCATTCCATGAATGAAGTCTAGGTGTTGCTGGAGGCCTGTTCCCAAAAGCAAGTTGTTAAAATGGAGTTTATTAACCCTGACCTGAGGGAAACTCTTAACAAACTTAAACTTAAACTATGGGTTAGTTAGTTGGGTAATAGTATTTCAGGTACAGTAATTTGCCTTAACATGGGCGCTTTGTCATCAGTGTTAGAGACTGCAGTCACTGGATGTCATAAATTTAATATCTGTCTTTTGGTTGTCAAAGGCTACGTTCACACTGCAGGCGAAAGCGCATCAAATCCAACTTTTTTGACCCTATGTGACCCATATCCGATTATGGTATGACAGTGTAAACAGCACAAATCTGATATTTTCACATCCGATCTTGGTCACTTTCATATGTGGTACTGAATCCGATACATATCTGATGTTTTAGAAAGCGACTGCTGTTTGAATGGTCATGTCGCATTAAATCAGTCTTTTACGTCACTGACACAAGACAGATGCCAATTATCAGCGCCCGAGAAGATTTTACAGATAAATGCTATGGTACACAGACACCAAATCATAGCTCTAGTTTCCCTTGATTAACAGGCTTTGGTCTTTGCTTGCCATTAACAGAGGTTCAAGGTGGTTTTTTGTTTGATTAAAGGTATAGTATTTCTACTATATTGACATTTATTGAAGCATTGCCATCTACATCAGTTGGGTTGTATGTTCCTGCAGTCTCACTATAGATTTACAATCTACATTCTTAATTAAAACATTGGTAAAAAGAGAGTTTCAAAATCCATCATCTGATTCATCATCCCAGCTGCACTTTTCTAAGGTGGTCTTAGTGAAATCAACTTCAAAGTCGTAAACAAAGTCAGGATCATCTTTACGTCTCCGGTTTTTCTCAAACAGTTCGTCCATTTGGCCTTTCTTGCGTGCCAGGTCCTCATCGTCCAGTTTGTTCAGGTCTTCGTCAGGGTCCAGACAGAACGAGGAGAGGCTGTGCTCCAGACTGAAGCCCTGCATGTGATCGCGCAGGATAATGTGAAGCTTCTCAAGCTGGCTTTGAGAGACACCCTCCAGGTAGTCCCTGTGCCGAGGGTTGTTCTTCAGCCTTTCAGCAGCCATGCTGTAGTCTGGAAGAGACAGCATGAGGTAATAGGTTGGTTGTAGTCCTGCCCAGTTACTTTGTGGCAATCTACAAGAACAAACTACGCTACATACATATGTTAATGCAGTGTGCATTCATGACTCCAGCTCTGATCACAGCAACTATGTCTCAAAAAATGGGCTAACAAGAAAACAAAACAAAAGCAGGAAGGAAAAAACGCAGTACGATAAAGGTAGATTTCCATGTATTACATATTAGTTATTTATTATTAACATTCACTAGCAATGACTTTAGTTAAACAAAGTAAGATGCTCCTATTTTAGTCAAAAATAGGAGCCTGAGGCTCAACAGCTTGCAGGTAATCTACCTGCTGCTATCCACAAGATATAGAAATTAAAACTTCAGGGGCTCATGACTCTGACAGGTTTGTTAGATTTACTAGAGTATCATATAATTATTAATATACAGCAAACGAGGCTAAAATAATATTCTCACACTGATTCTAGCTATTTCTATTCTTATATCTAGCAACATGTGACATGGAGCAAAGAGAACGAGTCCCAACGTGTCCGTGGTGCCTTACCGGAGTATTTGGAGAAATTTCGCACAGGTATTATTCTTTTTCGCACCTTTTTGGTTTCCGTGTGCTCATAAATTAAAACTATGGATGGAGGGCTGAACTGCACCCCGCAGCGCTTTGCCGCAAAACGCATCCTGTACTTCTATTACAACAAACAAACTTAACTCAATCCGACCATCAATTTAAACATGTTTAAAACAGAAACATCCCAGCTATAATTGTTGCTACTAGCGCACAGTATGAATAAAAAAATTGAGCAGCGGCTTCAGGGATGATTACGCGTTGCCAGGTTGCCAGCGGAGCCTTCACGTAAAGACGCTTCTGTCTGTTGGGATGCCTGACGTTAAATTTCGGATTTAAAAAAATAATATAAAATCATTTAACTTTCACGTATCATCATTATTCATTTCATTCCTGAAAACTACTTTCTATGTCTATAAATGTTACTAAATGTTTCCTTAAAAGCTTGTGTTTTTCAATCTCTACACAGGCACATTTGCAGGCTCCTTGAAACTACAAAAGGGGCCTTCAAAAATCCTCTTCCGTAAACACTTCAAAGAAGCGCTTAAGCGGTAGTAGCTGTGCTTGAGTTAAATAAACACGCCTCAGCGTTGGCCATTATATTTTTTAATGTATTTTAAACTGTTCTATGTTGTTTCTGCGTTGAGCTTATTCTCGAAATGTCTCTGTTTGGGCGAAAAGGGTACGTGAACTAGGTTTTACGTGAAAACTCGATAGTCATTCAATAAGCTCTCATTATTATTGATTGAAGGTCATTTAAATTAAGTTGTTGGGTTTTTTTGTTTTTGTTTGTTTGTGGGTTGTTGTTTTTTTTGGGGGGGGGGGCGGTTAAAGTTTGAAGGAAGCAATAGTATTTTTACAGTAGACAAAAAAGTGCTGTAAATATACCCCTGTATGGATAACATGACTTATATAATCTAGCACAGTTTGAAAAACAAATGCACCTTGTTCAAATTCAAAAAGCTTTTACCTGATCAGTGTAACCTGCTAATTTGTGCAGATGAGATTCAGAACCACTGTGATCTTCTGAGGCAGTGGCTTGCGCCCTCATCAGTGAGAGTGGAGCTCAACAAAAAGGGTTTCCACAGGTATTCGGTTGTTTGTTTTCTCAAAAGAAAGCTGTTCTGCCTTTAGGGATGCTTGTCAGGAAAATCAATGATATTTTCTAATATGTTTTAGGGAGGTGACAACTACAGTTGAGTTCAGATCCAAAGAGCTCAGTAGTGTCAAAGTTTTGCTGATTCATAGATGGCCCAGAGATGTCTATGTTGATCCATATCAACTTGCATCCCTTAGTGATCAAAATGATTGGAAGGTAAGATGCCGAGCAACTAGATATAGCATAACACAGTGTAAAATTCTACTACAAACCACAGTCATGTACAAAACATGTGTATAGTATATATATATATATTTTATTTAATTATTTCTGTGTTAAACTTTGTAAGATATTACTAGATTCAGCCATTGACCTTGAGGTTCCTGCTCACAAAGCTTCAGGATTTGTCACCTATGTGTATCCTTTCTCCACTGGACCAACTTCCAAGTTATTCAAAGTAACAATTCCAATACATGGTCGCTACCACAAGCCCTCGTTTGATGGAAAAATGTTGAAATCTGTTGACATAGAAGTTCCAGAGCTGCTGCTGCGGTCAGAAAAATGTAAGTGGATTCATTTCATTGTATAGCAATTTCTGACACTGTGTATATCTATACAGACGGAAAACAATGTTAACCAAATGTGATATTTAAAATACAATTTTGTGTCATAATGTGTAATGAAATAAATTAACTAAATACATTAAATCAACCTTACTGTTCACAATACAATTTTACCTGACTGCATAATTAAACTAAATGATGTGGGAGCATAAAAACCTAAATCTGTATCTGTTTTCTATGAAAGTGGAGTGTCAATGAATATTACCAAATTATTTCACTTTTGTGGTTGTGGATACAACAGTCATAGGTTACATACATATAATAAGTTTAGTGATCAAAACTTTATAGTGTAAAAACAAAAACGTGACTTGAAGCCTTTTCACGTTGGCTTTCTGAAACACTTTCTTCTAAAACTATTTCTCTTATCCAGGCGCACAGCTCAGCAGCTTAGAGCCTCACACAGTTGTGGATGCACCATGCACTGCCAGCAATTCAAGCACTTGTTCTTGGGTTAAAGTCAAGCCTCAGCAGGTGATTGTGAACAATATTTCAACAAATCTTGAGTGAAAAGGTGATAAAAAAACAAAAACAAAACTCAATTATTCACTTGTTTCCCTTTTGCCTTATAGGATCTCAATCCAGTGAGTTTCCAGCTCCCAGTGGGTGATGGGTCTTTGGTGGCACACGTATGCGGAGGGACTCTTCTTGTCACAATGATCTGCTGTGTGGCACTGTCCAAATACATGTGGAAACATCAAGTCATTTAAATAGCTAAAATTGTACTGGCATTATTTATTTTTTTATCAAACTGACAAGGAAGAGGCACTTTCAGTGTTGTCATCTTATCTGCAGAAATGCTGCAAGCAGAGAACAGGACTAATTGAGATGGGAAAGAATACTGAGATATTGCTGAAACAACAGATAAATGCTGAAAGATATCAGAATTTACCTTTTTCCATTCTAGCTAATGTAACTATGTTTATCTTTGTGAATCCTGCAACCTGTGCAAGCATTTTTCCTGCTATGACCTCATTTTGGGAGGATCATGATTCTTTATCTGTTCAGTTTAGTGCACCTAATTAAGGAACATGTTTTTATCAATTAATTTGTTCAGTTTTGGGCTATTTGGTTGTGATTTTCATTTATTTTTGACTGTAAAATGGGCTATTATAATAACACAATTATAAAACTGGAGTCTACAGTAGTATAATCTGTATTTTAACACTGAATAAAATGTATATAGTTCAGATTGCTATAAATACAATATAACAACAATGTTATCAGTATTCTTTTCTTGTGGCAGTTTAAAGAATGCCATGATGAGGTAAAGGTCATATCCATTTGAGACAGAGTACCAGGTGTCATCCTGTGCCAACGTTTGGATGTTTGATTTATGAGTGACAAACTGTGCTGCCGTGCATGCTGTCAGGAAAAACTAAGTTTTTTATTCTTTCAGCTTATGTCTTGTCTTATTACATCTGTTATCCAATTTTGGTCTCCTACCAGGCTCCATTTGTAGTTGTATGTTCTTGACCCTGTTGGGTAGTGCATGTGGCACTACATAACATGGAACATGGAAACGCCTTCAAACAATACAGTCAATGAAGAGCCAGTCCAATATTTTTCTTGTTTTGCAGAGAAAATGCTTAGGGTAATTTAGAAATTGTATAATCACATAGTTTGTTAAAAAGAATTAAGTCTGCAACATATTATGCATCACCAATGAGCAAAGAGAGGCGCATAGTCACACAGTGTCAACACAGTAGAAGTGTTTTTTGAAGTCACCCTCTGTAAAATTTAACTAGAACTTTCACCACCAGGTGCAGCATTTTACTAGAAATACTTCATGTAAGTATCAGCTCCTGTGTAGTAAGAAAATGTACCTGAGATCCCCCAGTAAAGATCTGGATATGCTCTCTACCTGAGAGGATCACAACTGTCTTTTGTCTAAATCACATATCAGTAAGAGCACACGCACTGCAAATAGCATCTGCTTCATAGCTATTTTTGACTGGGAAAATTAGCACCAACAGCTTTTATCATACCAGTAATATACTCAGCATCCTCATTAACTCCTCCTCTTGTTTTACTTGATTTCCCTCTGGGAGGTGATGCTGCTGCTGATAACGGTTACTTTCCAGGTGTTTCCTCTGCTTCTCCATATTTCCTCTTCCTCTCATGTTGACTTTCTACACCATCTTGTGGAACAAACTGTTAATACAGAATAGTACGATCTAGCCCTATTTTAACTTCAGTTGATAACTATATGCACAAAATATAGACATTTTTGTTATAAAGTCAGTTTTATCTGTTGGAGTTGGTGGAAACGAGTGTCAAGGGTGATTTGTGACTGAAGGATAGCAGTAGAGTGAAAGTGAAGGTTTACATGATGGTAGAGAGACCTGAGACGAGATGGCACTGATAAAAAGTCAGGAGGCCAAGCTGGCGGTAGCGGAGCTGAACATGTTTAGATTGTCATTAGAAGGGACCAGGAAGTGCACAGTCAGAAATTGAGGAGGATGTTGGGATAGGGTGAGATGGAGGCAGATGACCCACTGTGGCGACCCCTAAAGGAAGCAGGGGAAAGAAGATGAAGAACCTTATATGTTCTAACTAGTTTATGTTCTAAGTAGTTTATGAACTATACTGCAGGAAAACTAATAAGTAGTTAACCCATCATCTTCCTTTTTCAATATAACTAATATATTATATGTCTATATTGTTTTTCCTCTCTCAAAATAGGCCTTTGTTGTTGTTATAAAAATTTTGCCCTCATTTGGAATGAGTCTTTGTTACTTAACATAAGTCTGTACATTTTTCTGTCGTTTCTCACAGCTTGAGAAACAATGATGCGTGTGTAGAAAGTAAATTTGCTAGTATGTTATTTGCTTTTTTTTATTTACGCCATAAAAATCTGAGTAAAATTATGCTTTCAAAATTAGGCCATTTAAAATTTCTTAAGGCAGGAAAATAAACAAACGTTACATTAATGTCAGATTAGTGAGAGAAACCTGCCACACTTCATTTATAATTTACAAAATAATTGCTCTGCAGCTGGAAAATTACATCTGTAAATGCTGAACTACATTACCTTAAACGTCCACTTTAATAGGTTTCAGCATGTTTCACATTTTTATTATTCTTAATGCTTAAAAACGTGTTATTGGAGCTCCGGGTATGATCCGTGTGGTTTTGCACACGGGCTCTGATTTTTCCTTTCTTTCTTTTCTTTCTTCTTTGCTTCAGATAGCTGACTGTCTTCGCCGTGTAGTTAATGTGTTGTCTTGTGTGGTTAGCGTGTAGTGTCAGAACAATGAGGCGACTGCTGTCTTCAGGTAGAAAAAGGAGTGATACACCTGCTGCTGTCAGACCTGCAGATATCAGGCTGTGATGTTCTCCTTTATAGTGGACAGAAATATTTGGAGTGGCACAAATAATTTGTGTGGCATCTTATTGAATGCAGAACAGGTGATTGTTCTGTAAATAGTTTGAAATGGTTATTTAAAAAATCAAGGTAAAAGGTAAATGGATGCAAATAACTTTGTTGTTTGCAAAACTTGTGCGTAGGATTTTAAAATTGACAATTTATATTTGCATTTAAAATTATGAAATA